GGGTTTAGGGGTCTAGGGCTTAGGGATCTTGCGCGCTGATACCGACCTAGACCCCCCAGTAGACTGCCTTGTGTCGTTGCCCATGACGTGCATAATTAATTACCGGGTCTCAAAGCGGGAGCAAAGTTTTATCTTGTGGGTTTAGGGTTAGAGCAGGGGAGGGTGTAGAAACCTCACGGAGGGGGGGAAGCCACACATTGGGACCTGCATCTTTGCCCTACCAGCCAAAAACCATGAAACGGTCAAACTTTCAGGTTAATACTAAGAAGCCAAAGAGTTTAAAGGTCAGCTATTGGACAACCAGTCTCGAGGACCCTAGGTCTCTCTGTGTCAGATAACTGCTGTAATCTTTTGATCCACCTGGACTTTAACCCCACGCCCGAAACCCGAAGTGGGTTGCTGGAAATTTCGGGGAGGACCCCGTTGAAGGATCCTGTGGTGAGGATCCTGGTTCTCTTGCTTTCTGAAACTCCTATGATGTAGGGGCCCTAAGAATTAGAGTAGGGTTTTGGGGCCCATTATACTATACCTAGAATTAGGAACCCCCCAACATAGTATTGGTAATTATTTAAGCCCCTATATTACATCCAACGAATGCCCAGGCAGGAGGTCACCCGCACCCCGGGACCCCAATCGGTCCTTAAACGCAGAGCGATGTAAGGGCGGCCCTCACTAAATTCTGCTGACACATCCTGCGCAGTGGCTGTTTCTGTAACAAGGGTCAATGGAAGACTTCACTAGCAAATAAGGGTCCTTCCCCAAGGTCTGAGTGTTGGAACGGCATACTATATATTATGGACGATGGCTTCCTACCTGATTGTGTACAGTGTATGTACGTATACATGTATGTATGCATGCATGCATGCATGTAGGTGTGTATAAACATGTACTTTATATATATATATATTGATGTGTTCGTTCATCTAAACAAAAACCATTATGAAACTATAAACTATATATATATATATGAAAACCTGTAAGAATGGATCCTAAGGATGTTTACAGCGGGACATCTCAGACGCCTTTACGATGCAAGGGCCGTCAATTTATGAAATATGCAACCAGCTGGGTTACACCGGACACGCTGAAATGAGGGCGCCGAATCTCTTTGCGCTCGGCTTGAGTGCAACGAGAAGCTCGTGCCCGGCTGTGGGCAAAGAGGAGCCGCCTGCCTATGGAAAATAATTTCGACCCCTGAAGCCCTTAACTCGCAATCCCTCAGACCCCGTCCTCAGACCAACTTATTCTGGAACCTTTGCCGGCTCACGCCTTTTCCAAAATCTCCAAAGGCAGCCGATGATGGGGCGCCCTTCATATTTAAGAGAAATCACGGATTAATAGCAAGCCACTGAATCAGGCATTCAAGACCCTTGCCGGCACCCCAATATACGTAACGGGATACCCTGAACCATAAACCCTGAAACAAACATGGGTCAACGCGCAATTGTGTCCCTCCTAGCCCTATGAAGCTCTGTCACAAAAATCCCACAAGCTGATGACTCTTCAAGGAGCCGAACACTCCTTATTCACGAAATGTATGTATCTGTATCTGCACAAATATATCTTAAACCACATTATTTTGTTTTTTGTTACTGACAGCCAAGTAACTTCAGGTATGAATCATATTCCTTATGATTCATCAACTGGGAAGTATCCTCTTTACGACATCTCAAAACTCCTTGCCCAGCTCGTGGCCATAGATGTAAGTGGGCGCCCCAGGGGTGACAACTTGACGCAGCACTCGCCTCGACGTTCGGGTTTAGGGTTTAGGGTTTAGGGTGCGAGAAAACAACTGATTCCTGTTGCTTCGCAGGCTGTTAGGGGTTCAGGGTGTAGGGTTTAGGGTTTGAGGGTTTATGTTCAATGGCTTGCAATATTCCGTCTTCGGGAAAGTTACGGCTAAGTAAAGCCGGCCACTAGCTGATAGCATTATGACATCAACACGGGCTATAGTCAGATCGTACTCACGACCCTTACGAGTGTTTATTCATTAACCTACGTAAGAGCTTCTCAGGTATCGCGTGGGGCCTCAGGGGGTTCGGGCTTAGACTTCAGAGCTGTTGGGATGGCTTCGGGAACCCTATAAACCCTACACCCTAAACCGATTTGGTCTTTTGGGGTTTGGAAGCTAGGAGCGTTACAGTTTGGGGCTATATGGGCCCTGAACCCTGGGATTCTTACATGCCTACTATACTCCTTGATGTACCCTTAGAAGGGTCCCTAGAATCCCCCTGAAAGCAACCCCCACTTCAGACTTTCGAGAATCTGGCACCCAGACCAGGGCCCCGAACAACTTAAAGCCCTAAAGCCTCAAGCCGATAACAAGCCCAAGCTTAAAATCTGTAAACCTTAACCCCGATAAAACTCAAAGACTTAAACCCCGAAGCCCGAAACCCTCAATCCAGCCCCAAACAGCACCAAAGCCCCCGGCGTCGTCTTATCTTCCTGCGTCTGAACGAAGACCGCTGCGGACAGGTCCTCAGCATGAGTTGGGAGTAGTAGGGTTTAGGGTTTACGGCTTAAGGGTTTCGGGTTCAAGCGTTCAGGGAGGATACTGCAATATTCCATGAAGTTACTTGACCTTTTTCCTAATTTTCCTAGGGACTGTAAAGGTTGAGTTGGGGGGATTATACAGGGGGTTATGGCACCCCAAACAGGTTAAAGGTTACTTTTCCCACTATGAGCCCAAAGCACCTGGAAAACTGGACCCGGAGAGTCCAAGTACACCACAGTCTGCATCAGCGGGGCAACCGTAGTCTACAACACGACTATCCTAAATCCCTAAAATACTAATCAATTGTTGGCTCTGTTGGGTCTTTACATATATGGCCTGAATTATGTTTAAGGTTCCTTGCTAGAATGAGGCTGTAACGAAGCGAATATACCACCAAAACTCTATTCTAGCTACTAGAGCCCTGTACTAATGGTAGCCCTTATAAGCACGCCTGTTCCAATCCATAAGGCACCTATGTGAGGGGATGGTAACAGCTATGACAAGGAGCCGTAACGAAGAATATCGACGGTTAATAGTAGTACTCAACCCATCATCATACCAGAACAATGACAGACAAAGCTGCCTTCATCCTCCGCACCAGCGTCGCAATGCCTGATGATTTTCACGCTCGTCCTTATACCATCTTTATCGTCGTCATCATCACAGCTATGATCGCCGTCACCAACGCTGCAATGCCCCAGACAAGCGCTGTACCCCAAACCCTACAGCAAAAAGGGGTATCAAGCCCAAATCCTAAAAACTTTGTTTAAACCCTAAACCTAAACCCTAAGCCCTAAACCTCCTTTGTTTCCTGAGCCGTCTGTTTCTGCAGCCGAGGCGCAGCCCGAGTGAGGTAGTCCAAAGTCTGCTGCAGGTTGGCGGCGTTGACGGGGAAGCCCGCGCGAGCTTTCCTGCCGGCTCGGCCCTAACCCTAACGGTTTAGGGTTTAGGGTTTAGGGTACTAGAGCCCCTAGGGCCCTATATAGTATGCACCTGCGGGGTTAGGGTAAGGGGAGAGAAACTACCTCGGAAGGCAAAACTTGCCTGGTAGGGAGCTTGTCCAGGAAGGGATGTGCTTTTGCCACGGTCTTTTTGCTTTTCGCCATCAGACAGTGCCAGATCTAATCATCTACAGTGCTTGTTTCATCAGCGCGGGGCTCAGCGGCGGACTCCCTTCTCGGTGACAAAGGCCTCATCGTGAAAGTCTGGACGTAAGGGTTTAGGGTTTTTGTCTTTGTAGGATTTACGGCTTCAGGGTTTTTGGTTCTAAGCGCGCACACACACACACACACACACACGCACACACACAAAGACTGCACCTCAGCATTCCCCAATTTCGGTCTCGTTGCAAACCCCGGCTGCAACCATTGTTTCGAGGGTTTGATCAGAAGGAAATTTCTGCTACTTCCCCCTAACCCCCCAGGTATCTACTACATAGGGTACTAGAGCCGCTAGGGCCTATATAGTAGGTACCTGGGGGGTTAGGGTCAGAGGGCTTCGGATCTCAACAGCTCAGGCGCCTGGCGGCTGACGTGTCCTCCGCCTTCTTGGCCTCGGCCCTTTGGCGCCGCTCCGCCAGGTAGGCCAGGGAGAAGGTGACCAGCATGACGATGCAAATTCCCTGAGCTTCGGTTAAACTGCCATGCTACCCGCATCAAGTGCGAGGAAGGAGGGGAGGGAGGGGAAACTAGGAAGAAGGAAGGGCGGTGTGGGACCCCGAAGCCAGAGTAGCCAGATGTCTCCAGCAATAGAGCAAATCAGGAACACCAGGACGCGCTGCGTCAAAGTGGACTTCGCCCAATGTAGGTCGTTGGCCTCCGCTTCACAGCTGAAAGCTGCAGCACTCCTAACCCACCAGCTCAAAAGCGCTCCCTCTGAGTGCGAGCCAGTCGCGATGAGGCAGGTGGTCATGCCTGTGATGGTCAGGCTCACGATCAGGAGCCCGATCTCTGCGCGATTCCAGTCGTCGGCCTCACTCGCACTTAAGAGGACACGACTAGAGCACAGCCTTGAAGACTTGAAATGCCGCATCGACGAAAATGCACTTAATTGGGCCAGGCCGCTTGATATGGCCAGAAGTACAGATGCGCTACCAGGGACGCGATGAGAACCAGAGTGACGGCTTCCATCTGAAGTGCCTTCAGAGCCAAAGACAGCACAACTCTCTCCCTCCATGGAATCCCAACTGACATGGGAATATATGTATATATGTGTATAGTTGCTTACTTTGGATGTAGGAACACACACATATGTGTAAACATACATGAGTACATACATACATACGTAGATACATGAAATGCAAGATAATGCAAGACAAGACAAGACAAGAAAAGACAAGACAAGTCACGACAAGGCAAAACAAGACAAGACAAGACATTACATTACATTGCAATTACCTTACCTTACGATACGGTTACATTACATTGCAGTACATACATACAAACATTACATACAACCATACACCCATGCGTACACACACACATACATGCGTACATACATGCATTCATACATGCATAAATACATACATAAATAAATAGTATATATATATATATATAGGTATGTATATACATACATAGGTACACAGTATACATACTTACCTACCTACCCTACCTACCTACCTACCTACCTACCTACCTACCTACCTACCTACCTACCTACCTACCTCCACCTACCTACCTACCTGCCTACCTACCTACCTACCTACCTACCTACCTACCTACCTACCTACCTACCTACCTACCCGACCTACCAACTACCGACCTACCGACCTACCGACCTACTGACCTGCCGACCTACCGACCTACCGACCTACCGACCTACCCACCTGCCCACCTACCGACCTGCCGACCTACCGAC